CATTTCCACCTCACATCAGGAATTCAGCTCTTTTGTCCATGACTGAACCAAGGCTGTAATAAAGTCAGGAACCCAAACTGGGCATCAGCGAGCAAGTTATTGCTGGCCAGGTGCTGCTTGTTGGCAATGTTGATATTACCTCCCATCACTTTACGAATGATTGAGAGTAGACGGTGGAGCAGTAATCGGCCAGGTAGATTTTCCTGCTTTTTGTGTACAGGACATACTTGAGTAATTTTCAACTTTGTCGAGTAGATGCCAGTGTTGTCACTGTACGGAACAGCTTGGCCAGGGATGCAGCAAGTGCTGGAGTACAAGTCTTTAGTACTATTGTTGTTGTTGTCTGGACCACAGCCTTTGCTGTTTCCATTACTTCCAACCATTTCTAGATATCACGTGGAGTGAATCGAATTGGCTGAAGACTGGTATCTCTAAAATGGTGATCTCTGGAGGAGGCCAAGATGGATCATTGACTCAGCAGGATCGCAGCAAATAATTCAGCCTTATCTCTTGCACTGATGTGCTGGGCTCCCACATCCAAATTGGGCAGCAAATTGGCTGTTGTGCATCCTGGAGTAAATCAGTGGCTTTTGTCAAGAAACATTTTAACTTTAATGCCCATCCTGAGGTTGTCAAAGGCACTACATAAATGCAGGCTCTCTCCTTCCTTTAGTTGGTCATCTGATAGAACTAAAGCAAGATTAATTTTATGTTGCATGGTAGAAATACACAGGTTTGGAAAATAGAAATTCTGTTAAAATGAAATTTTGTTTTCATCCAATCTGTTCACTGACATGGAATTGTGCAGTTCAGAACATTTCCAACACAGTTTTGCTTGGACAATGCATGAACATTTTCTGTTGAAATATTATGGCACAAGACTAAATTGTTGTGGAACAAAAATCTGTTGCAATGATGCCCACAAAAAAAAGGCGTCGTTGCGCGGATGGCTGGTTTGCAATGCAGAGTGATGCCAACAGTGTGGGTTCAATTCCCATACTTGCTGAGATTGCCATGAAGGACATTCATTCTCAAACTCTTCCCTCACATCACAGTGACCCTCAGGTTACAGAACTTCCACTTATCTCTCTCTCATGAGAACAGCCCTACGGTCTGGTAAGCCAATGGAGAGTTCACCTTTAGTAAACAGCTTGCTGTACTATCAACTACTCATTGTACGTTTTCAAAGCAATTGAACAATCAGCCTACTTAAAAGTGGTCCCAAATTAATATTGGTGTAGGATAGTTTGAAACACCAACTTTAAAATGTAATATTTTGGCCCACTGTATGTACTTGCACGCTAATAATTTTTAAAAACGCTTAGCATTGTAAAAGCAAATAGGAACAAAAATAGTGCCTTGATCTGTTTGAGCATTCTATCCTTCAACAAATTTCAGATCACAACATAATTTGAAAATTGAATTTCACAAACTAATATTCTGGTATCTAACAACTTCTGTTACATTCAAAATATGTCTTATCCTAAGATGTGGGTACCCATCTCCACAGCTTCACGAGTAGAACAAAGAACAGCACAGCACAGGAACAGGCCCTTTGGCGCACCAAGACTCCACCAATACATGATGCTTTTCTAAACTAGAAAATTTTTGCCTCTACACGGTCTGTAATCCTCTATTCCCTAGTTATGTATCTGTCAAGATGCCTCTGAAACAACGCTATGTATTTGTCTCCATCACCACAGCACATTACAGGCACTTACAACCCTCTGTGTAAAAATCTTGCCTCTCATATCTCCTTTAAAAACTTATCTCCTTTTACCTTAACCTTATGTTCCCTAGTAACTGGCATTTCTACCCTGGGAAAAAGACTCTGACTGTCCATGCCTGTCATAATTTTGTAAACTTCTATTAGGTCAGCCCTCATCCTTCGACATTCAAGTGAAAACAAAGTTTGTCCAATCTCTCCTCATAGCTAATACCCTGCAAACCGGGCAACATCCCGGTACTCTGTTTCTGTACCCTCTCCAAAGCCTCCACATCATTCTGGTAGTGTGGCAACCGGAACAATACACAATATTCCAAATGTGACTTATCTAAAATTCTGTACAGCTGCAACATGACTTGCCAATTTTTATACTCTATACTCCCACCAAAGAAGACAAGCATGCCAAATGCCTTCTTGACCACCTTATCCACTTGTGTTGCCACTTTCAGGGAATTATGGACCTGTATGCCCAGATCCCACAGTGTGTTAATGCTATACTTCCCTCCTTATTTCTTCCAAAGTACATCACCTCGCCTTTGTACGGATTAAACTCCATCCGCCAATTTTTCCACCCAATTCTCCAGCCTATCTACACCTCTGGAAATCCAATTCATTATCAGCAGCTTGCCCAATCTTTGTGTCATCTGTAAACCTACCAATCAGACCACCTATATTCTGCTCCAAATCATATTATAAACAACAGGGGTCATAGCACTGATACCTGCGGAACACCACTGGTCACAGATCTCCAGTCAGAAAAACACCCTTACACGGCCACTCTGTCTTCTCTGACTGAGGCTACATCTGTATCCATCTTACCAGTTATTACAGATCCCACATGACTTCAACTTTGTTTTGTCAACCAGCCATGAGAGACATCCTCAAAGGCCTGGCTAAAGGCTATGTAGACAACATCTACTGCCCTCCCCTCATCAAACATGTTTGTCATTTTCTCAAAAAAGTCAATCAGGATGGTGAGACATGACCTTCCCCGCACAAAGAAATGCTGCCTAAGTTGAAAAAGTTGAATCTGTAAATGATATTACAACAATTCTAAAAATGTTGAAAATACACTTTAACTAACATTGCATGTACAAAGACAGGGGAACATTTTTAGCATAATCCTTTAGAGCTGAAAAGTAGCTACGCTTCTTGCTTTTATCTCTCAAAATTAGTATCCTAAAACACTTAAAATTTTCTTTCAAACAAGTGGCAGATTGTTCAACTCATCCACACCATAGGAAATAGGAACAGGGGTAGGCCATTCGAGCCTGTTGCAACGTTTAAGAGAATCACCGCTGATCTAAAACTCCCTGTAATCTACAGATTTCCAGCATCCACAGTAAATTTGTTGCTGTATCTATAATTGAACCCAATTCTCTTTTGTAAAACAAAAAGCAGTTTCAATAAAAGATTGCAGCAAGAAGTCCTTTCTTACATAGAGTCATACAGCATGGAAACAGACCTTTCGGTCCAAGAATTCCATGCTGAACATAATCCCAAACTAAACTAGTCCCACCTGCTGCTCCTGGCCCATATCCCTCCATACATTTTCTATTCATGTAACTATCCAAATATCTTCTAAACATTGTAATAGTACCCACATCCACCGGAAGTTCATTCTATTCTAGCTGTGTAAAAAATTTGCCCCTTGCGTCTTTTTTAAACCTGTCTCCTCTCACCTTAAAAATATGCACCCTAGACTTGAAATCCCCCATCCTAGAGAAAAGACAAATACCATTAACTCTATTTATACCCCTCATTATTTTATAAACTTCTATAAAAGATCCCCTCTCAGCCTCCTATGCTCCAGTGAAAAACGTCCCAGCCTATCCAGCCTTTCTTTATAACTCACACCTTCCATATGCAGCAACAACCTGGCAAATCTCTTCGGAACCCTTTGCAGCTTGATAATATCCTTCCTATAAGTGGGCAACCAGAACTGGGCACAGTTCTGTACAACCTCAACATGATTTCCCAACTCCTAAACTCAAAGGTCTGAGCAATGAAGGCTAGCGTGCCACAAGCCTTTTTAACCACTGTGTCTACATGCGACGCAGACTTCAAAAATTATGTACCTGCACCACCATTCTACAATACTATACAAATGCGGATGCTGAAAATCTGAAATAAAAACTGAAATGGCTGCTCTGGCAGCATTTGTGGAGACAGAAACAACTTAATGACTACAGTTCTGGCTGATACCCCCATCCGTTTAGAAGGTTTCCCTGGAGACCAGGAGAGTGGAGGTGGGTGGGTTCCCCTGGAGATGAGGCTGGGAGGGTCAAGGCCAAGATTCCCTGGAGATGGAGTGGGAAGCAGCCGGGCCGGGATCACCAGGTCAGAAATCACACGAGAACAGATTATGGTCCAACAGGTTTATTTGAAAACACAAGCTTTCGAAGCCTTACTCCTTCTTCAGGTGTTAGTGAGAGAGGTAATATCATACACAGAATTTATAAGTAAAAGATCAAAGGGTCACATCACTAATGAGGATGTGCTAAACAAACCTAAGACACTGTTAGAGGAGCAGGAAGGCTGACGTTTCGGGCCTAGACCCTTCTTCAGAAATAGGGGAGGGAAAGGGGGTTCTGAAATAAATAGGGAGAGATGGGGAGGTGGAAAGAAGATGGATAGAAGAGAAGATAGGTGGAGAGGAGACAGACTGGTCAAAGAGGCAGAGATGGAGCCAGTAAAGGTGAGTGTAGGTGGGAAGGTAAGGAGGAGATAGGTCAGTCCAGGGAGGACGGACAAGTCAAGGGGGCGGGATGAGGTTAGTAGGTAGGAGATGGGGGTGGGGCTTGAGG